GAAACACCAGGAGACTAGTAAGGTGATACAAAAGGTACCTGAGTTGACGGCAAGGGTTAAAAAAAAAAAAAAAAAAAGATAACAGGCAATAGATATTGGATTTTTTATTAAGCAATTTATTTAAATCTTACATTCGTGATCTTATATATGCCAATATTTACTATTTCTGTAAATTTAATTGCCACTTAACCATTTAACTGCTTTTGATATTGTATTCACGGTGCAATCCTCGACCTCATGTCACTTTTTACAGGGGTTCAGGTAAGTTACAGGAGGGTGAAAGACAGAAAGAAGACGTGGATTTGACAAGTTTAAGTGATTCGGGAGATTTAATTGATTAGAGACGATGCGTCATATATGATTAATTTTTCAATTACGAACTTATTGATTAAATGTTACAAATAGCAATATATTTCAAGTAGTTTTATTGTTATTTAATTCAATCATGATGTTGTGGAACAATAGGGATGGGAACTCGACATTATGGCGCGTCGCGTAGCAATCGTATCAATGATGGTGAAACGATGTAATAATTGGTAATAGCATGCACTGGGTGAGGACGCGTCAACAATGTGTATAAATAGGATGGTTTACGTAGCTTTAAAAACAACAAGTTCTAGATCCGATATTTAGAATTTTGTTTTAAAACACTACTTTGTTTTTGCTACTTCGCACAATAAATACAGCAATTTGACATTCCCTAAAGTATAAACTAAGTCTACGCCACTACAGTAATGTAAACACTTAAGAAAGAGAGACATGACGTTACCTTTGTGCCCCGTGAAGAGTGATACTTGTAATCTACGCGCCTAGGGAAAGACGGTCAAGAAGAGATTAGCAAGTGCGCAAAAGTCGATGAAATTGTAACCGCCTCGGAGTTAAAGTCTTACCTTGTTTAGTGCTGAAATCCAAGCGTTCGGATTATCGTCACGCGAAGAGTGAGCCGTTTTAGCGACAGACTCGCCGGTGACGAAAACAATGGTTAAATCAAATTTGATTTTTCTAAATTACTTATTTTATATACTATACATGAATTTATCAAAAGACCTGCTTAAACCGATGATAAAAGCATAATAAAAACACATGTTAATCGGTCCCAACCGATCCCAAAGAAATTACTGATTACAAAATGATTTTTTTACCACGAGTTACTAATTAAATATGTTTATACCAATTTTTTTAATCAAGGCTTCTTATTGGAGATAAATGAAAAAAACCTTTCTAGAGTCTAAAATCTCTTATAGTGTTGGGATAGGATCGGTCCGGTCTGTAGCCTTTTAAATATGGTTTTATTTAAGTGTCATTAATCAAACTTACATTTATATTTTGATAATGATTATTTATTAAAGATAAGCTATTGGACTCATCTAAAATTCATGATAAAATTTATTTTTCGCTGCGGGACCGACTACACCTAATTGATAATAATAATAACAAACCAATAAAATAATACAATCAGTAAAATTATTTATGAAAATTCAACAACCAACTTATTATGTTCAGCCCTTGACCGTGCATAAGCTCGAAGTTTTTACTGTAATTGTATTTTCTTGCGACTTCCATAGTCTCCCGACCAAAATGCTAGGTAAAGTAAACGATGCTTTAAATTATTACTGTATTTGATATTCTATAACCATTGTGTGCATGAGTTACTATAAATGTGCACATCATTTATTAAGTGAACGTGTAATTAAACGCACGAACGTAGGAAAATAATGTATGTGCATGCTGTAAATATAAATTTACAATGAGCTGGCGCGATTGGAATTCGGCAATTACCTTGCTGCGGACAAATATCAAATCAGGAACTTTCTAATTCCATATCTAATGTAGTATATGTTTTCCTTATAGAAAGAGTAATACATACCCCACTGGCGTCTTCCCTGGTGCAATAATTAATAGTTGCAATATTCTATTCTAATATAATTAAAGTTTCGAATATGCATGTGCATGTATGAAAAAATAAATATTTAAGTCTCTTGACATTTATCTACACATATTGCTTGCTTTTTTTTGTCATTTGCATGCATGAAGATTAGGTTATTTTTTTCCGGTAGTTCATTGTTCAAATGGCAAATGACTTAGGCTGTACCGTTGTTTATTTACTCTCAATTGGTAGTTACTTACTAATGTTAGGTCAACATTCTTTCATGGAAGACAAATTAGACATTACTATGCAGTATTGTAAAAAGCATTTTATAAAAAAAACATCGCTGAAAAAAAATATGAATTCGTTCTCATGCATGATCAATCAAATCAGTCGCACTGCACGTGCCATTATCTGTTTTATCAATAATATCGACGGCAATTATCGGATACTTTATCGGAAGGAACAATTTACTCGAGAGACACGCAGTACGTATTTACGTATTTTTTTGTGTGCATACGCCACATGCAGTATCTTTTTGGTGTAGATAATATTCGTTCACGTTAATACGCAGAACATCTATAAAACTAGGCATATTTGATGTCCACGTCTTACATTGGATTTTTATTTATCGTCTTGGCAAAGTTTCAACAAAGCATGATTTTAGGATGTTTGATCTTTTTTTTCATTAATTTTATCGACTTCGCTAATGCTCTTACTAAAAACTCGGAGGCAACCAATCCAATTACAGAATCTGTGTTTGACTTGATGATCACTATATTAATACCAATCACAATATACGCGAATATTAAACGAGTTGATAGCTTCGAGGAACGATTTCTTGTATGGTCGTTTCGTATCATTGACCTTTTGGTCAAAGTCCTGGGAATAGGTTTTCTTGTTATAGATCATAAAAACAATACCGTTCATAATTCCTTTTTTAATCACTACCTTGTTTTCACTTTGATATTTAACTTCTGTTGCCATGACATTGCTTGGCTTTTTTACAAACATATATTTACCAGTAGTGACTCTAAACATCTTGTATCCCACATCGTTTCCAACTTATTATGGTTTTCGTTTTACTTAGTAAATTTAATTTTTTACGTCATAGCAATCGCTTATAACTATGTGGAAACCAATACCTGTTTTTTCGTGTTAGTTCCTTCTATACTTGGAGTGATCGTTGGGTTCTTGTTATTCAGTCATAGGGTTGGTATCATTGATGATGACCCTGAAAAAAAAAAAGCGTTTGAAGAAGTCTATGAAGAAAGTGACTTCATAGTCAAAATGTACTTTATGTTTAAGAAAAAAAATGACAGTGACACGGAAAATACAAAAAAGAGTAGCAGGTTAACCCGTTTTTTGATTATGCTCGTGCATCCTTTCTGCAGACTTGACAAAAAAGAGCTATCTCAAGATGACATTGAAAGCGGAAATAAAAACGACGATCAATTTATAGAATTGAAGGCCGACGAGGAAGAAAGCATTAAGAGGTGTCATGGTTTGTCGATATCATCCATCATATACGATATTTGTTCGTGCTTATTGTTCTGTGAAATCGCTGGACCCTCCGTTTTGTGGATAAAAGTTTACCTTACATTGACGTTCATCTCAATAACGTTGGAAATGGAATGTTCTCAAAAGCTACATACAAAAAAATCCATCCAAAAAGGTGGCAATTAATTTCACATCTGTTTCGCAATTTTTATATTCGCTATTTTATGGTAAATTTTCGTTCATTATTTATCTATTATTTATATTATATAAAGAACGCGCTATTTATTAGTTATTTTCAATTAAATTTAACCAAATAATTATTATTAAAATAGAAAGGTACGAGAATAAAATTATATCAAAAAATTTTTTCTAAATCAACATGTTAAAACAATATGGTTTATTATAAAAGAATGTCATTGTGTTTATTTAAAATATTAATATTAAATTCATCATAAAATAATAGTAATTATAATAATAATTGTTCAAATTTATTTTGACATTTGAATGATCAATTAAAAGTTATTGATATTTTGAAATAATTTGAATCAAACTTTTTTATTTAAATTACTTATAAATTATGTTGGAACACGTATCTACTATTATTGTTTATCAAAATATTTTACTAATAAAAAATCTAAATATAATATATAGTAAAATAATATTATAATTAATTTTATAATTAATAAAATTTTTAATTATTTTTTGTTAATATATATCAATATATTTTATATGCAGCAGTAATTACACAAATAAAAAAAAATATTTATTTATTTATTAAATAATTTTAATAATATATTCATTTCTTTTTATTTAATTTTTTTAAAAATTAAATTAAAAAATAGATTAAAAAATTTTATAAAATTTTATAAAAATCTTATTAATATATAATATTTTATATAAGAAAACAGTTTAGTATTAATAAAATGTTTATATTGTATTACATTTTTTAAAAACAGATTAATAATGTTACACTTGATTTTTGTCTAAGATCTTCATTATTCCTTATTTGATTTTTATTAGAATTTATACTTGAATTATTGCCTATTCTAAAATAATTTTTATATTATTACTCTTGTTATTATATAACATTATACTTTTTGTACTATTGTTGCTTTAAAATATTTTCTATTTATCTATTTATCTTTATCTTCTTATTTTTATTAAAGTATTTGTTTCTATGTTAACATATACAAATAATTATTTAACAAATATAACATTTCTTTTATATCTTTATTATTTTACATAATTTATATTTATTATGTATAAAAAAAATGTTATATCTTAAACATATATATAAAGTCTTCAATTTTGTTTAGAAATTAATAGGGTTAAATTTCTATTAGAAAGTTAAAAAATATTAAAGAATTGAATTTTTATTTTTATAAAACAAATTATAATTAACTCTTTTATTTAACTTTATTAAACTTTAAAATTGTATTAATTATATATATTTTAAAGAACTTTGGCATATCATATTAATCTTTTTAAACAAAATATCTTCTTGTTACTAGTTCTTTATCTATATTTTCTTTTGAAACAGAAATAATATACATAAATGTCTATTTTAATAAATATAATATATATTTATTTATTTTCTTTAAAACTTCTTTATTTTTTATTTCTTATTAATTTATAAATTTATTAAATAAATATGTTCTTTTTTTTAAAGAATTATACTTTAACTCAAAAAATTCAATCTTATATTAAAATTATTTATATTGTTAATTTGAAGTATTAACAATATTTACAATTTATTTCTTAATATTATTTAGTATATTTTACTGCATTATAAAAAATCAATAATTTTTATTTAAAATTTTTTACAAAAAATTATAATTAATTAATTTATTTTTATTCCTTAATTATATATTAAACTTAATTAATTAATTATTATCAAATATTAAGACAAATTTATATAATTAATATATTACATAACAATAAATATAAACAAAATTTATTTTAACAATAACTATTAAAACAAAATTAAATTATTGACAATAGATTAATTTTTATATCAATTATCAAATATATTAATTCAACAATAACAATAATAATTAAAACAATAAATAATATTCTATATGCTTTATTATTTATATTAATAAAAATTATATCTTATTATTTACTAACTCTTTTATCCAATATAATTATAATTCTTTCAAATATATTCAAAATTTAATTTTATTATTATCAATTACTATTTTCTCTAATACTAAGTAGGTATCCATAGCTGCTTGGTACTATATAACAAGATATATTGTTTTAAACTTTTTTTTCAATATTAGTTATATAGTTACTGTAAGCAAGCTAGTATTTAACTCATTGTATTAATATATAAGAGATGTTGTTTCTTTATTAATATATATCTTAATATATATAAATCAAAGAAAAAAACAATGTTTACTTACAAAAAAAAATTATATTTTATTATAAAAAATTAGAGAAATAAAACAATAAGCCTATATGGAGATTTTGTTAAGAATATGGTTTTTTTTTATAAAATTTAAAATCTATCCAATTTAATTTAATTTTAATTATATTTATTTTTTTTAATTTTATTATATATTTTAAATCCTTTTTAAGTATATAACTACTATACAATTATATTAAGATCAAATTTTATATTATTTAGTATAAATTAATTATATAATATTATAATATTGTTACTTATTATATAACATATATTGTATATTTTTTTATATGACTGATTTTTTTTGAAAATGATAAAAATGTAATATACAATTTTTTGATATCTATTTTTTGAACAATATATATATAATATAAATTATAGAGATACAATTATAAAGTTAAAAAATTCCTGTTCACCTTTAAAAAGAATTATCCATATTTATATTATTTTTTTATTATACTATATATAATAAAAATATATAAAATATAATACTTTTTATTTTATGTTTTATAATATAATCAATTATATAATAAGTATATAATATAATTATTAAAAATTTTATATTTTTTAAATAATTTTTAAAATTAATATAAATATATTAAACTTTGATATTTTTTATTCTATTTATTCATATTATACTTATTGTTATTCTTATTTAAGTGTAATATCAATTTCAAAATACTATATACATATTATATTATTATAAAAAGATTCTTTATAATGTAATGTAAAAATATTAAATAAAAATATTTTTAATAATAAAGTTTATATATTATAAAAGCTATATTAAACCCTTAATTAAAATTATTTAAAATAATAATAAATTATAGTATAATGTAATAGATGAGTTTGTTATTACATTGTGATTATCAATTCTATAATATCAAAAGAAGTGTTATATTCGTCAGAACAGTTATCTGTATGTGTTTGCATAGAAACAAATGCTCTGGCGAAGATACA